AGGGGAGCCCCGGCCTCCGATCCGCCTCCGCGCGTTGAGGAAGGAGCCCCTCTGAAGGCCCCGGCGGGGTTTAGGGGAGGGCGGCGGTTGGCCCTCCCAGGGAATCCCAGGTGCTCTCCCCCAACTACAAAGCCCAGCATCCCGTGGAAGTACAGCGATTCTCCCCACCGCACCCACCCTGTCGTTTCTGGCCGGAGACTCCGGGCCCCCGAGACTTTTGCAGGTGAGCCTCGGAGAGAAGGCGTCCCTTTGGACTACAACTCCCAGCGGTCGTCTGCCTGGGCTGCTCCCACGACCACAAAGCCCATGTTGCCGGAGCGCCAGGGCGCCGGACTGTGCCCGGGCGGGGGGAGGGAGGGAAGGGAAGGGAGGAGGAGTCCCGGCGGCAGGGAAGGCTTCGGGAAGGGCTGAGCGCTGCCGGGCTCGGCTTCCCCTTCCAAGCGGAGGGAGCGCCGGGCGGGAGGGGGTCGTCCCAACGCCCAGCGCCGCCCGAGGCCGGGGGGCCGCCCCCTGCCTAGGCACAGTCCCTGCTCGGCGGGCTCCCCTCGGGCCGGGAGGAGGCAGGGAAGCGCTCCCCCCCCGCCCAGGTTCTTCTGCCCCGCGCGGCTTCCAGGACCGGGGCTGGGGGCCCTTCTTGCTCGGTCCTCATTCAGGCACACACGTGTCTGCCTCTGTGTGTGTGTGTCGGGGTGTGTGTGTGTCGGGGGGGGAGGGTCACCCCAATAGCTTTCCGCAGCAAGGGAGATCTCCGGGCAGGGCAGATGCGTCCCCCTCCTTCTGGCGTCACGCAAGCATCCAGAATCGGGTCACCTGCCAAAACCGACCCTCCCTCTCGGTCTCGGGCAGAAATCGGGACAGGCCGGCCGTCAGTCAGGGTCGGTGGCGACGAGGAGGCCGAGACGGGCCAGCAGCGGCTCCCAAATCTTTATAGGGGACAAGGCCGGGGCCCCCTTGGATGTCTGCCCGGCTTGCCAGCCAGCNGGAGGTTCTTCGGGGAAGGCGCGGACTCGCCCGGGGCTGCCACCGCCCCACGGAGAGAGAGGGGGCCCAAGCGCCTCGGGTTCTCACCTCCAGCCTGACTTCACTTTGGCCTCTCATTGGATCCTATGGCTTTTAATGCCTAGACAGTAGACATTGTAACCCACGTTCTGCAATGCCCTGCCTCAGGAGTTGGGAAAACCCAGAGCCACCACTTTTTGTGTTGTTTTGGCATTTGCTCATGAGGATTATTGGCGCCAGAGCCTTTTTCCTGAGATGGCTTTTGAAGGATGCTCCCCTCCTGTGGCTGCCCTGAGAAGAACATTCCCTACCCTGCTCGAGGCTGATGCCCAAATGCAGTGGAAGGAGGGCCTCCTGGGCACACTGCCAGCTCTGTTCTCCGCTGCTGGCGCTTCTCACCATTTCTACATGGGCACCAGGCAGACATTTTGTCAAAGGTGGCCGTCCTCCCTTGTTCCTCTTCCCAGAAGGCCCAACATATTGACAACACTGACATTCGGCTTGATCCATACGCGGACCTGCAGGTCACCATTCAGGGTGCCCAACTTGGATTGAACCCAGGGCCTAAATTTCCTTCCAGGAACAGAGTTGAACTGCATGGGTAACTACATCCACCCACTTCCATTTCTAGCCTGGCAGAGTTCTAGAGAATTCTAAAAGCTTGCATACCCTGTACGTACACTGTATGTGTTGGCTTTAATGAATATGTTGCCCACCTATACCTTACGGATTGTGTGCTGTTTAACTGAAGAAGCATCATGGCACTTACGATGATACTACAGAGGATTTAATCACATTAAAAGAGGGCACCCACAAGCTGCCATGTTTTCAGCCAGGAAGACAGCAGAGGCTGTGGTAGGTGTGTGAGCTCTGCTTTATTGATGTACAAACTTGTACTCTACAACCTGTGACAGGAGGTCACTGATGGTGCTCTCAGGAAACATGAGTCAACTTAAACACAAGACACAACACTGCAACAGGCGCACAAGCAGCTCCTATCAGCTGGAGATGGGGGGCGCATCTGCTGTAGCAGCCCTAACCACCGCACGGCTCGGCCGCAAGCAGCTCCTATCAGCTGGAGATGGGGGAGCGCATCTGCTGTAGCAGCAGCCCTAACCACCGCACGGCTCGGCCCTCCCAGTTCTACACGCAAGAGAGAGGTTCTACACCTCTCTCGTTCTTCTAGTGGGGTCTAGTGGCTACTGGAATAGGTTCTGGGAGGAAGGACACTCTGCGGCCCCTCCCCTCCTCGAGGGCTGGCAATGAGGTACAGCAGCAAGTTAAGAATTGGCATTCTGGAACTTGTAAGGGAGAGCATGGGTTGCCTCCTCTCGCTCCCTATCAGAGTGCCTGTTTAGATACCCAAGTGACCTGTGTGGTACTGAAGGGAAGCAGCAAGACTCATGGGAGGTTGCAAGGCTTAAGAGAGCTGTGGTGTAGCGTAGCTCTTGACTGGAGTGTTTGGATCAAGACCTGGCAGTATAGACCTACAGAGGAGAAACACAGACAGACTTTTCAGGGAAGAGGAGAACCTGGCATCTACGACAAGAAGCCATGGCACTAAACGCTCTATTAATCAGACAGATCAAGAACTTCCAACCTCTGCACTGCTCGAGAGCTACAGAAGTGACACCAGGTGGCCCTACGAGCCACCTTAAGCCATGTTATGCTGGCTCTCCAAGTTAGGCAGGATAGGCTGGGGGTGGGGGGTGAGGAGAGAAATAGGGGAGGGTCCTGCATATCAAAGAACTATTTCAAGTATTTCTAGACTGTCTCTCTTCCCCCAATCACTGCATTTGGTGGTTTCAGACAGCCTCCATCCACTATACAGACACGGACAATATTGCAAGCAGCGGCTGGTCTACTGTGAAGGGAAGGCGGCGAGACAGGAGGAGAGGGATGAGGTTGCTGGGCCTGTTTCTATGGAACTGGCACCACACGCATGGTGTTGGTGAAGCCAGATCCAGGGCGCCACCCAGTCAGCACTATAACCAGATCGCCACTCTTGAAGAACCCACGAGCTTTACCTGGAGAAAGAAAAGGAGAGAGAAACAGTAAGAAAGCAGGCTGTAAGATAGTCAGGGAAAGGCTTGCAGGACTGGTCTTTCATCTACTTTATGGTTCAAATCCATTTAGGCAATCAACAGCAGCTACTGTGGCCCTGAAGGTGGGATATTTTGTTGCAATGCATCCAGGCACAATGCGCAGATGGCCAAGCACCTGCACTTCCCACCTGAAAGCCCGGCATTGTATTGGGGAGCCCCCACCACCGCCGCTTCTGTCTAGCTGGAGCAAGCGGGGTGGGGGTGGGGGTGGGGAATGGGCCAAGGAGATCAACATACCGACATTCATGCCCATGTTAACGCGGAGGTCAACATCTTCTGCCCAGGAATCATGGGTGGGCTCTTTGCAAAGCACAGGGAAGATCCCACGATAAAGGTGGGCCTGGCGGGCTGCCTGAGCGTTACGGGTCACAGCTATGATGGGAGCACGGGGGCGGTAGCGTGACACCAAGTGAGCAGACCTAGAAAGAAAAACAAGCAGCCCATTCAACGATTGCGGTATCCTGCTGGGTGTGGCCCGTGGGTCAGAATGCCCAGAGGAGCCCTGATGGAGGAAGAGCAGGGCCCAAAGGCAGCCCCGATGGCTTCCAGGGGGAGGCTTGAGGCACCAACACACGTCAACGTGTGGGCAAGTGAAGCCCTCCAAATTTGTTTGGCCAACAAGACCCTTCAGGGGGCAAAAACATCCTTCTGCCTCGTGGTTTGGCCTTCAGACTAAACAGACACCACTTTTGCTTTATTACAGGGAATGCAGGACACACAAGGGAAGACCCCGGTTGTGCCTGGGCTGCATGGCCAGGAGGCGCTGCCTTTTTGAAGCCTCCTAGGAAGCAGGAGGGAGGCTTTTTTGTTCTCAATGGTTGCATTTTTTAGGGAACATCTGAACATCAGTAACATAAATAATGAGTCAGCCACTACTGTATGCCCTTTGACTGGAAATTTCCACAAGAACATATCCTGTGCTTCAATTTGTTTCTGGAAGGCTTTGATATCAAGCCTCAAATTCAGGGAGGGGGTGGGGAAAGAGACTAATGCTTTCAAATTGTTTGGTCCAGAAAGCTACATGTCAACCATGATAATGTCTTGGCACATTTTGAGTGGCACACAGGCTTATTCGCCAAGCGCTTTGCATCAGGACCTTTGAGAGCAACCTGCTTAGAGCACACTTTGGGGCAGAACGGGGGCCAAGGTCTCCCAACCTTGCATTACCGGGGGGGGGGGGAGAACATGGGCAGTAAACCTTCCAACCAGCAACCGAGTGGTGCCATTACTTTTCTTCTCCTGAGTCTGGCATGTGCTAAAATTGATTAAAGGAAGCAACATCACTAAGATATAGATATTTCTTCCTAAGAGGTAATTTTGAGTGGCAAGTTTAGTGCACATCCCTCAAGTTCCATTCAAGAACCATTTTACAGTTTTTTAAGAGTAATTTGCTACTTTGCTTGACATTCTCCCCATTCAATATTTGCAAGTCCAAACATTCATCCTCAGAGACCATTCAGTGGCTCAAGGAGACATGGAAGATGAAATAGAATCCAGAGCTAAATTAGATTCCCTAAGTTCAGATTTCTTTAGAAAGGTCAGACATTAAGCTGGCAGGAACCCATTACAAAGGAACTTTAACAGAAGGGTGCACTTTACAGCATGCTTGCATTACAGATTAAACCTGCTCCAATTTAATGGGACGTTCTGAGCAGAGATTTCGAGATCACTGTAATGGCTCACTAGTGCCAGACAGTTTCTCCTTCCTGTTTTGCACCTTTTCAAGTATAGCCTTCGGATATTTAGATAAAAATATTTTCATGACAGTGTGAGTGACTCTTTTATATTTATTCCTCGAGCAATCCTCTGTTTGGGGGCAACTGCTCTGTCTTTATAAGCGATTATATCTCCAAATAGTGCAGATCACTGTTATCAGGCAGTCAAATGGCAAACACGAATAGATAAAACAGCCCCAAAATATAAACAGATAAAACGCACTTGGAAAGGCCTCTTCAGTTCTTTCTCCTGTTCCCTTGGGGAATGCTGTGCTTCCACACTAAATTAAGGCTCATTGACCATCTGAAAAGACTACCATGTATGCCTGCTATCTGGTTTGGGGGACCTTAAAGGTCAGCCAGCTTTTGATCCTGCTGATGGGCAGAGAAGCCTGTGGCCAGAAAATAAACCAAATCCTGCACTCCTGTGTCTCTGACCTTCAGGGACAGAAGAGTGACCCATTTGGGACTGGCCACATTTAGAAAGGGTACCAAGTCTGAATCAACCATTTTGATCTCAAAGTCCCACAAGCAATTGACTCTGCAAAGCAGCCCATGCATCATCTAAAGGTCTTCCATTAGGATTTTGGTCCAAGCTGAAAAGACAACCTTAATATGCAGGTATCGAGACTCCCAAGGTAACAAGGACTTACTGCCCTTCTCACTGGCTCATTTCATCAGTGATGCTTAACTTCCACACCCTCAACAACAGACCCCCAAGATGTGTTTCCATGAACACAGATGCTCCTATGCTTCCACTTTTAACGTCCTGCTCGATACCCCAGATTCACGGGAAGTCTTGTTCTGATGGATCCTCCTTTTGTTTGCTTTCCCAGCCACCTCATAATCTCCCACAGAAGGACATGATTTTTTACTTTACCATTTTCTCATGTAACCACTGCATGCTTTCAATCTGCTCAGTATTTCAGCTTCCATTTGCAGTTTGTGTTGGGCTAAGGCCAGTCTGCATTCAACTGAGAGCACATGGCTAGGTTTCTAAAGGCTTTAAAAGGGGGGCAAGTGTGTTTCTTAACAGCTCGCACCATGGAATGAGTTTCAAATACATTGCTTTTTGTTGACCCGTTTTATAACAGTTGTTTCCCTTGCAGTGAGGCATATTGAACTTGGTTTAGGAACATAGTACGAATCTTTTGTGGACAACGAACTTTCCAGCCCAGATAAAGTCAGGGAAGAGGCAACAGTCCTGTCACGACAGTCTACTTCACCCAAAAAATAAACCAACATTGACCTTGCTGGCATTCAGAAGTCTGATGTGTGTCACGTTCTCCAGTCACCTGAATGACTTCTGCCAAAACCTTCTACCTCCTACCTTCCAGACTTGGTGAGCACGATAATGGCCCCACTGCAGCACTTGAAGGAAGCTTCTACGGCGCCAACAGCGGCCGCTTCAGTCGGGTCCCGGTTCAGGGGAGCCAGACGCCGGAGCTCTTCAAACAATTGCCTGTGAAAGATGGCTGCCTCTGCTTCGCGAGCAATCTATAAGAGCAACACGCATTCGGAAGACAGCATTCGCATCATCAGTCCTTGCCAGTGGCGTGGGTGAAGGTGGGGAGCTGGACTTGGCAGAGGGCCAACACGCTGGAGCGAATCAAGCCAAACCAGAAGCAAACCCAAAGGAGCCTCCTCAGCCAAGACGACACGGGTGCACCCTCCAGAAGAGCAGAAGTAGCACGTGCGGTCTGGCCAGCGTTCACTTTCCACCAGCCAAATCTGCCAAGTCCCGCCCCCCACTCCATTCTGCCCACCGCCTCTGCACTCAATCCAGGCACAACTGCCAGTCACTCTTGCTCTGCTTCTACCTACCTCGAATCCTCCTTGGCTAGAAAGGTGAAAGGCACACTCGTGGGGGTTTTTGTTTTTGTTTTGTTTTGTTTTTGACCGAGAAAGAGCTGTGTGAAGAATCGCTTGATTTCAAGACCACCTCTCCGCACGTGAGCAGGGATTACAAATTCTCTTACCAATCCTAGGTGTCTGCCTTGCTCTGAGCCCTACCTGCCAGTCTCTGTCAAAACTATCACAGCTGCAGCTAAGCACTTAAAAGAGGCCTCCACAGCGCCTACAGCCATGGCATCCTGAGGGTCCCTGTTGCTAGCAGTGAGGCGGAAAAGTTCTTCAAACAGCTGACGGTGATAGATTGCAGCCTCAGCCTCGCGAGCAATCTGTAGGCCAGAGTAAGAGGGTGGGAGGAAAAGAGAAGCAACACAGAAAGGAGGAAAGAGATATACCAGAGGAATAGGATCACGTTAATTTGCAAAGAGAGTTAATGGCTCATCTGTGGTCAAGCATGCAATGTTAGAGGAGGGTGGTGCAGCAACCTGGTTCTCCAAGCAGAAATCAGCCATGCCAATTTTGACATGAGGCAGGCTCCACCCTCCAGCTTCTGTCTGACCCGAGGAATGCTGGGAGCTGTTGCCCAACCAGACCTGGAGGGCCACTCTCCACCCGCCCTTGTTTAGACCATTGAGAGCATCCAACTGAGCAGAGCAGGGGAGGAGGCCAAGGCAGCCAAGACCCTGTTTCCCATCATCTGTCTCTGAAGCCTGGAGCATTATCAGACTGCAAAGCCAAGGATCCCTGCATCACGGAAGGGGCGCCTCTCTCCCCTTGAGGACCCAGACACCATGTTGGGTGGCTGATGTCTTGATTGAAAACCTGACTGATGTAACTGCTAGAGAAAGAGACCTTAATCTCACCCCTTCGCTGCACCACCGTCCTCTGAAGAGAAAGCCAACATTGTCTCTCCTTTGGCTGCCCAAGTTTCACATGTATAATATACTCCAACGAGGGCAGCAGCCGGTAGCCAAGGGACAACAAGCATGCTGCCCTGCACAACTTTTCGGAATGGAACCGTATGTTCCCCTGGTTGCATCCAAAAGACACTGAGGACTGAAACAGAAGTGTTTGTGTATCTACCTGGACATAAATGCCACAGAACTCAGGGACACTTACTTCCCAGTAAAAAGATACAGGTTTTGGTTGACAGTAGTGCGTGTGTCCTTAATCAGCCAAAGCAGAGACTTGCACTTCATTTTAAAAAGCATGCAAACAACTACACATTTAAGAATTATTCCATCTAGACAGTCAAGATTGCATGATAGTTAAAAAGCAGAAGGTACTCAAGGGAATGTCATAGCCCGATCTGTAGAGGGGGTGTCCAGTTATTCCCTCCCAAGAGGAAGAATGAGGCCCATTTTAAAGAACAGCAGTAGGTGAACAGACAAGACACCCAGAAAGAGCCCCATGGCCTAAATAACCAGCCTCAGGGGTGGCGGTGTGTGTGTGTGTGTGTGTGTGTGTGTGTGTGTGTGTGTGTATGT